TCTAAAAGCAACGTTCCACCTTGTGTTTTTGGAACATGTGCTGAACTCATCTGTGGGCTATTACTGGTCCTCTGATGGGAACCAGCCCGCCAAAGAATGCGGACGCGCACGGAATGATGGTGGGAGTATGGCAAAACATTAAAAGCGTATATTACGTCGTTTCTATGCCATGCGTAACCAAGATACCTGAGCAGGTCCGAATCTACCTTTCCAAATGCCCTACTGTGCCAGAGCCGTGGTTGAACCACCAATGATTTGGCTTACCTACCCTCATGTTTGGCAAGTCTTTTGATGAAGGGCGTTGGAAGAGCATGATAGCAGTGTGCTGGCAGAAACAAGCTGCAGGATACTGATTTCCTGAGGCTCCCATGAAGACGGCTACCACACTTGCAAGTGGTTGCGTAAGCAAACCCATGTCAAAGATGAAGGGTCGCCATGACCACACAACGCATATCCATGGCGCACCTGCATATTCCAGGGCATTCCAGCCAGGTGACCTAGAGATGAGCATTCTCTGGTAGGCTTCGGAAAGAACTCTGAGACAACTCAATTAGGTCCCCCAGTAGTGCCCTTTTACCCCCTTTTCTGGCAGAACCTCTATACAGAAAAAAGGTAACGGTAGCAGCTTCTTCTAACCTCTCTTTCCTGAGCTAGTTGGGCTGTTGAAGCAACAACGGCCAGAGTTGCACAGTTGCAAAGACAAAGCCGGAAGGATGTCTCATGGTTTTCCCGAAGCGATTTGGCTGTGGCTCAAAAAACCGGTACCAAAATGGAACCCTGGAAAGTGGAAACATGGACCAAAACCTGCGTAACCCCTCCTGTTTAATTTTGAGCCACACCCATTTGATTCGCTGGGGATGTCGCCAGGGGAGCCGGACGTGGAGGACGTTTCCACCCGCGCGGTGCTGCTCAACGCGCCCCGCGCCGACTTCGCCGCGTCTCCGCGGCGGCTCGGGGGCTTCGGGCTGCGGCAGCGGACCTTGGGGCTGGACACGCGGAGACCCCTGCAGGCGATGGAGGGCTTGGTGCTGGGGCTACAAGTAGGGCTGGGAGGCGTGGGTGGGTTGTGGTTTTGGGGTGGGGGAGAGAAACTGCACCAAGTTGGCATCCGACTTTTTTTTGTCCTCACCAGTTCCTTTTGTATCGAAAAGTCAGATTTGTTTCGATCCAACCCCCCAGGGTGGGGGGTCTTGAGGGTTCTGAGGGAGTGGGTGTGGAGTTGGGGGTGGAGAGACGGGCGACGAAAAGTGATGGGCCAACTGGGAGTGTCGTATGTGGTGCTTGGTGGAATATGGGCCCATGTGTTTATCTCCATGGCAATTTTGATAGCCAAACCTTGATGGCAGAGCAAGTGGAGGCCACTTGGGGATGGCGGGGGCTTATCCCGGGCAACGCCTGTTTTCGGAAGGACAAGCACTCGGTCTCTGGCTGATTTTGGTAGGGCCATTTGTCTAAATCGGTCTAGTGCCTTCTCCAAATTTGTTTGGCTTCCCTTGATCTGTGTCGATTTTGGTAGCGCTAGCGGGCTTCACGAGGCTTCAGCAGAGGGGTGCCATAAGTTTTGACATGGGCATGTCCCAACCCAGTCCCCACATGGTTCTCTAGACGGTTAGAACATCATGCCTTCCATTGCGTCACTTCAGACAGGGGTCCCAGCGAGAAGAAGTTGTCGGACTGCGTGCTGGCATGCTAGGTTTTTCCCTTTGAAACCTATGGGATACTTCCCATCTGCCGCAACCCTCAAAGGCTCCTTATGATCTGTCTTTTATCACGCCGCGGAGTTTGGCCTTGGATGCTGAACCTTTGGACCTGGTCATGCGCCGGAGTGAAGCTGTTGCATCGCCCAACAAATGCGCCGCAGGAGCTGGGTGAGACCGGGGAACTCGTCTTGGACTTCACAGGCGCGGAAAGCAAACGTTGTGGATTAGTCTGCGTTGCTTCCCGAGGGGGGCAGCACATATTCTGACAAGCTACTTGTCTTTGTTTTTCCCTAACAGCTAAAAGCCATCTCTGCCCAGATAAGCTCCGGAGTGGTCTGGAGGTAGGATTCCGGCAGGTTCCGGCAGGTTCCAGGCTTTCTTTCCATGGAGTGGTTGCTCTATGGGCTTCCAGCGGTTTGTTCCAGGAAGTGGTTGTCTTGTTGGGTCACCGCTGGCTTCCGACAGGTTCCTTTCGGATCCCATGGGTTGCGATAGGTCAGAGTGTTTCGGAGCCCGCTGCAGGTTGGATGGTTCATGAAGGGTTCTGGTTGCTGGGGATATCACCTGGGCTTACTTGCGCACGGAAGAACCAGCGTCTTGCCTTTGGTGTCGCACTTTGAACTGGCTGGCTGGCTGGCTGGCCCTTTGTGCTTTGTCGTAAGTGGGGGACGTAAGCATGCAAAGTTAGGCCAGCTTTGAAGGGCTGAGGCGTACAAAAAAGAAGAATGAGGGACCCTAAAAAGTCTAGGACTGGGAGCACCTGGCAGCGCAGCACTTTGTGCCTCGCAAAATGCACCGGAAATACTAAGTTGTGTACTGGCAATACTGAAATTCAGCACTCGGAGTACTAAATCAACGACTCGCAACACTACATAAGCACTGGCAATACTAAATTTAGTATTGGCATCACTTGACATGCCGGCCCCGGAATTTAGGATGCATGGCCGAGATATTTTCGGGGGGGTTAGGGGGGGGTTTTCCTCTATCCTCTCTTAGGCGTCCGACACGCCGAGCAATGTCGGCGGATTCTATTTAAAGGGATGTTCCAAAAAACCAAACACGCGCAAGGTAAACCCCAAAATTCAGAACGTGAGTTCACCAATTGATGTTCTAAGCTGTGGAACCTGAAATCAACACATGTTTTAGTAGATGAATCTCGTTTTCTGGGTTCACCCTTTTTGGGGTCCAAGTGGATGTTTAGAGGAGCAAGGCCGGCGAATTTTCAGGCAGCATTTCCTCAAATTACCTTCCCCTGCAAGAGCAGTTCGTTTTTTCTCTCGACAAGGGAACGACCGCCTCATTGGCTCTTGGCTTGCGCCCGCAGAAAGTGACATCAGCTGCCACCTCCGAACACCCAACACACACAGATTTGCCGCCTTCAAGGGGTCCCTTTGAAGCCCCACATTCTCCGTTTGCTCCTTTGGGCCCATGTTTGATAGTTTTCAGGGGAGATCACAGTCAGGGTGCGACTTCCATGATAAACCATGCCGGCTCCTTCACTTCCCAGGCGAAGAGATTGCAAGCTTCAGTCTCTTTTGCGTCTGAGCCTCCCCAAATGATGGTTCTCCTTCTGGTTTTCCTTTAAACCGCCAAAATGGGGCACCCTCAAAAAGGACGGTGGCCCATTTGGTTTTCCTTGAGATGCTGTTGGGCCGGGGCGGTGGCTGAAGGCGAGCTGGTTTGGCCTCCGGGCAAGCTGCAGCAGGAGCTGCGCCTGGGCCGATGGCTTGCAGCGGCCGCAGACGCCCAGGCGTCGAATTTGGGCGCCGCCATGGGCGTCCTTTTGATCGGCTAGTTTGATTGAAAATAGATGGGTTCCACTGGCTTAGGTGGGGTTTATGACCCATTTCCTCAGGGAAACCCATCTATTTTCCAAAAGACCACCTATGTGAGTCGGATTTGTGCGTCGTAGGTGCGAAGGACGAGTCGAAGCATCAAGGGCTTGTGGTGGATCACTCGGGGTTTGGCCCCAACCGCTTCTGTGATACTTCTGGGAATCTCTCCCTTTATATGGGGGCTTAGTCTTTGGGAAGCCCTTGCTGTTGTGTCATAGGAGTGGTCGTTTCAAACGTCGAAGCATCTAGTAGCTGGTTCCTTCCGAAGTTTCTCAGTACTTAGTCTAGTATTGCCTAGTCTGATGTTAGTATTGCCAGGACTGCCTCTCAGATTCCTAGTGCTTATAAGCACTAGGAATCTGAGAGGCAGTCCTGGCAATACTAACATCAGACTAGGCAATATAGTTTAGTATTGCCGAGTTCACATTTATTTAGTGTTGCCAGGACTTACTTTTAACCTCCCAGTACTTGGTGTAGTATTGCCTCTTCTAAATTTAGGATTGCCAGGACCTTCTCTCAGATTCCGAGTACCTAATTTCTAATTTAGTACTGCCAGATTTAACCCGCCCAAAAAACGCTTGACGTTGAAGAAGACCCCCAAACAATCAGATTATGCAGGATGACTGGCTCCTGTTGGCACCCCCCCTTTTTGTACGACTGCTTGCTGGTTCTTTTCCCCCCCCCCCCTTTTTTGATGATTTTTGTTGACTTTTCTGATTTCTAACATAAGTTGTGTTGATTTTGATGGTTTGGGGGACCCAATGCTTGCCTGGATTTGTTTGCCGGGGGTTCCTTTGGCCCGACCTGTTTGTTGTTTTTTTGTTTATTTTTTGCCAGGAGTTTTTTTTTTTGTTTTTTCCGTTTTGATTTTTCTTTTCTGTTCTTTTTTTCCGGGCAAAACAACTTGACATACAAGATGGTACCCAAACAGTGGGGATCGTGTTTAAGCCGAGGAAACTTGACATAATTCAGGGTGTTGGGTAATCTTGGTGCAGCACTAAAGGGAAACTCACAGGAAACCCAACATCTTGGGGCTTACACACGCAGACTTGTTTTCCGACTGTTTAGGGCATCGGATTGGACAGCTGTGGTTTCTTCCCTTTGCCTGACACGGCAAAACCCAAAACCAGGCCAAAACCCAGAATCCAGCATGAGCCACAATGAAAACCCGGGTAGATAAAGGTTAGCAAGGGATGCTCCCAACCAAGAATAGCTGCAGCCGGTTTCTTAGTTCTTTGCATGGTTCTGGGAATACGACCATTTGAATACCGGGTTTTGAGTATGACTCACATGGCCATGGGTCAAAAGCCCATGCCCCCAATAAACATCCCAATCCCCAGGAAAATCGGAAGCCTAAAATGGGTGGTGAATTCACCTACCAACCAAAATGGGATCCCAAAACGGATTTGACAACCACAGCCACATAGGGCCCTCCCCTTGGGCGCACACGGACCCCGAGGCGGTGATGGACCTGCTGCGCCCCGACGGCGACGGCGAGGCCTCGAGCCGCAGCAGCTGGCGCAGGGCGGCCAAGCGCCTGGGGCTGGTGGAGGGAGAGGCAGACGAAGTAGGCGGGGGACGAGTGGAGAGTCTCCCAGCTGGGTGCCGCTCTTTTACCCCCTTTTTGGTTTGGGAGGGTTCGGAACCTTAAATTGACTACAGAAAAGAGTTGGTACCAACTTATTCTAACCTCTCTACTGAAGGACCTAGGAGTGGAGAGTGGTCGAAAGGGACGCCCTGAGTGCTTGAGGCTGGCAGTTTTTGGGTACTGGTGCGATGGCTTCTTGACTTTGAGTGCTGCATGAAAAAGGAATCTTGTTTCAGATTGGTGTTACTTTCTACGGGGAGTCTAGAATTTTGGGCCCTGCTTAAGTTGAGATGGTGCTTCAAGGGAAGCGAAATGTAAACCGTCAATCTTTGGTGCCCAATCTTGGAAGTGCCCACATGATGGCCTGAACTGCTTGATTGGTTGCACTGCACCTGTCGCTTTTCCGACGGTGTTGGTGACTTGAGTGATTTGAGTGGTTCATGAACGGACCAAACGCATAATTTCAAAGCGAGGAAATTTCCTCCTTGGCTTGTTGCGAAGGTGCAAGCTCTCATTCCGTCAGAAATGTCAATAGGGTTGCCCGCTGTGGTGAGTGCGCTCATGGTCTGGCGCACTTTGCAGGTCATGATGTGTTTGCGAGCTAGTCACTAGCCGGGCTCCATTAGTCTCAAACTTGGGACAGCTTCTGAGATCACCCACTCTGAAATTTGCGGTGACCAGATTTCAGATCCCGGACCGCGCCCAACTGACGACACCCTGCCGAAAACTGCCGTCCAAATCGGAGTCCTTGGAGAGACAGTTTTTTCTACTTGATTTGTTCCACTCCAAAGCGAACCTGTGAAGCGCCGTGAGGGATCTTGGCAGACAAGTTCAAACTTTCCGGGAGGAAGCTCCGCATTGCCACCAAAGCTGTCAAGTAGGCTTCCCCAAGAGGTTCAAACCAACTGCCTGCAGCAGGGGACGAGCTGCAAGCGGCCGAATTTGAGTCTACCAGCCAGGGGACCCAGGCTCTTGTGAGTGAGCTGAATCTCAGCTGAATTGACCGGCAGGACATTGAATCAGATATCGCCTAGTTGCCGGTTTGGCTCGGTTGGACACAAAGGAGAATCTCAATCTCCAAATCAAATGAGGGGGCGCTGAAAGTGTTGGCCCTCGCAGTCGTGCCGGTCAGGAAGCCGCAGCTGGGACAAATTTGGGAACAGGAAAAGGCGCCTAAAAACCTTGATTGCTATTGGGTTTATTGGGTTGGATCTTGAGACCTCAAGTTTTTGGGAAATCAAGGGTTTTCCATGGAACCCTACAAACAGTTAAAGCTTTGCAGAGGGGTCAACAGCAACTGAGAAACAGTTGTGGACTTTGACTTCCATAGCCAGATCAAGAGTCCAAGGACCCGAAGACGGCCGTTTTTTTTCCCCCGCCCCCCCCCCCCCCGCTCAGGTGACGATGGGCTGTTCCCACCACTGGGCGAAGGCAGGGCGCAAGGGCCACCTTGGCTATAATTTGATGATATTCCAGGCATCTTGTTTGTTTAGTTTGGCGACCTAGCAGAGTTGTTGGTAACTAGCGCATACCTCCATGATTCTGCATGCGCCTCAGTCAAGACCGCAGTGGATTTCCATCCATGCTTCCACAGCGATTCATACCCGCCAGTTTTACTCTTCAAAGCAGCCTGGAAAACCTGCCGGAGGGGAGCCTTCATTTTCCCAAAAGCAACTTTTAAAACCCCACGGCTCCTAAAATCATGCTCCCTTCAAGCATCACTGGCGTGAAACAGATAGCCTGGTTGCCTTTAGTTTGCTTTATCTCAAATAATGAATTGGCCTTCCGAATCACAATGATTTCCTCTACTGGCAATATGTCGGACGTTTTGCAGGGTGTCGAAAATAAGCCCAAAAAGCAGAAGGTCTCTTGCTTGGACTTGATCGGAGCGGTCGTCAATTTCTTAGCTTTTTTTTTTTTTGGGGGGGGGGGGTGCTTGTTTTTCCACCAACTCGACACGAGGCTCCCCGCTTTTCGGGGACCCAGCCCCTTTTTGGTATAGGGGGTCGACACCAGCGTGTCATGCTGAAACCGATGGCGGCCCCTAAAGTGTTTCGGCACTTTGGGGGGCCAGGCCCCTTATGCCTATGTTTTCTTTGTTGCATTTTGCCAAGGGATGTTAGGACTTTAACTTTTTGCCAACTAATTGGTTTTTCATTAAACCACCAAAAGTTAAACTTTTAGCAGGGGAGCAGAAAGCAACCAAGTTTTGTTCCTGCAAAGTGGTTGGTGGACAATCCCCACCAAAATGATGTCCCCAAAGGGTCCGGGGAACCATTTAAATGTACATCCACACGGGCGCGTGTTTTTTCGGGGACCAACCAAAATTGTGATTTTCCTCTTGGTTTCCTAAATGGGTGCCAATTCCAGAAAAAGAAGAGACGCACCCACATAGACATAGGTGTCCTTTTTGCTTGTGTTGCACGAAAAATAGATGGCACTGGTGTACCTGGTGGCTTTTTCTCACCTACCAGGGTATCCCATCTATTTCCCCTAAAAGGACGCCTATGCGCACCCATATGGCCATGGGTCAAAACCCCGTACCCCGCAGTGAACATCCCAATCCCCACTAAAATAGGTTCTAAAATGAGTGGTGAATTCACCTACCAACCAAAATGGGATCCCACGCCCACCCATGGGTTGGTTTCCCAGTCATCTATGGCCTTTTGCAAAACATAGATGGGTTTTTTTCTGGTTAAATGGATCAGAACCCCCATCTAAACCAGCACCCATCTTCGGTTTTGTCCCCTCAGCGGCGGCGTTTTTGGCTTCCGCTTCGAAGCCGCGGGCGCTTCGGCCGCTTCGGCGCGAGGCCCGGTGCGCTTCGCGCCGGGGGACCTGCTGGTGACGGGCGCCCGGGCCTTTGCCACAGGCACCCAACAGTTCCTGCACAAGGCGAAGCGAAGGAAGCGACCGCCGCTTATCTCTCGGCCGCGTTTTTTTCCATTATTTTTCTTTTTTTTCGGAAAGCGCCGGTGTTTTTTCGGCTGCGGTTTTTTCGGCCGGTGTTTCCGTTTTCTTTTTTTTTGGTCGGTTTTTGCGGCCGGTGTTCGTGGGTGTTTCCGGGTTTGGTTCTTGTTTTTCCCTAGTGTGGCAAGCCATCAGCCATGAAAGGTTCCTTGGGCTTTTCGGTTTTTGGGTTGGTTTAGTGGCAGTTTTCATTTTAATTACGGTTGTAGCAGGGATTCTGGCAACATCCCTGGTTTGAAATGTGTGTGTGTGTGTTTCTTTTCGAGAGTTGGTGGCGGCCATCTTTTTTAAAGGGACACCAAAAGGACAACCCACTGTTTTGGGCGTCCCCTACAAAAAGACACCCCGGATTCTTTGAAGGGGAGCCCCAAAAGCAAGCGGCAAGCTGCTGTAAGGAGACGGTTGCCACTTGGATGGGTCCCCAAATTCGCGCCCTTGGGTCTTGTTGGGGGGCCTTTATTCACGTGGGAGAATAACATTGGCTTAGATCCCAGTTTGAAGCAGCTCGGTTTCTGAGACTTGGACATTCCTCAAGGGAAATGCCAGGTCTCCCAAGACCAGAACCCGAATGGTGGTTGGTTGGGGCTATATGGGGCATTTGACTGTTTGTCCTGCTGATGTCACCTGCGACATACAGTACAGTGACTGAATGTTGATATTCTGCGAAACTGAGGCGATTGCCCTGGTACCGCCTGTGTGTTGGCCAATTCTTGAAACTTTGGCATGCCTCACTGCCACTGATGTTGAGCTTTCCGAAATTTCATCGACCATGCTTCTCAGTCACTGCCGAATGAGTGGAGCGAAGTTTCTTAAGAGGACGCAGGCAGCCAGCCGGGTACGTCCCTCGCCGCTTGCTTGCCAGGCCATTCTCATAGTGCTGTCCGTGGATGCAGACGAGGCCGGACTGCCGGACTGCCGGACCAGGGAACTTCCAGCGGGGTTCCGTTTTTTTGACTATCCCAAAGTCGACTTAAACCCAGGGGCGGTTGATTTCCCCAAAAATGGGAAGCCCCTGGGTTTTAAGTCTACCTTGGGGTGGTCGGAAAAACGGGCCCCTGATGTCCAGCGCTTTCCCGACCATGGAAACAGGCCGAAGAAGTCTTCCTTTTGGCCTGTTCTCACCAAAGGGTGATGGCTCCCCACGAGTTGGGCAGAGGAGGCATCCAAACCCCTCCGCTCGGGTTTCTCGACTTACCTCTTGTGGTGCCAAATCGTCGTTGCTGCTTCCTCGTTTCGCAGAACTCCAGGGCGTGGCCGGGGTGTGTGTGCCTGATGAAAAGGCGCGTGCTGAGTTTGGTCCTCACATTTGCGGGGTGCCTACACAGGTAAGACCGCAGTTTGCTACGTGCAAGATATATCCGCAAGGCGCATACTTGTTACTGACACCTGCGCACGTGCCAAGACTAGGTTATCAGCATCCCTATTTCAGACCCTCCCACCTGATGTGCGCAGATTGCAAAAGCCACTTTCCTTGTAAAGGCAAGATTAAGGGCACCGACGAAGGAGTTCATATTTTGTCACGCTCGAGCAGTAGGTGTTGCACAATGCAGCCCAAGCAGAACCCGAGACTGCGAATCACCCTGAGCAGACGGGTTCAGACCTTTTTTTCTCCGACTTTACCAGGCTTTCCCCCGTTTGTTTTGGACCAACAGGCCACCTCTGGGGGGTTTTGCTGTGACCTTCGGCAGGTCTTGGCCCTCTGCCTCAACCGCCCCGCGAAGCGGCCGGCACGAGGCCCCCCGTCCCCGCGGAGCCGGCGGCTCCGCGGCGGCGGCGGCCTGGGCCGCGGCTTCGGCGCGGTGCGCCGGGCGCCCTCGGCGAGAATGAGCCGCCCCAAAAGGCGCCCGGATGGGCTGAAACGAAGATGGCCGGTTTTCATTTTGAAGGAAGCAAATGTTGGAAGTTTC